CTTCTTTTTATCCTACACAGACACAATCCTTTTAAGAGTCAGGCAGGAAAACAGAAAACCAACACAAATAAAACAAACCCAACAGACCACTAATCTTAGCAATCTTCGACATATCCATAATTTCTACTTCATTTTTAGCTAATGGTGGGAATTAGTCTTTGGATAGTTGATAAAAATCAACCTGTCTCTGCTGGGTTAGTACCATGATCTGTGGCCCAGCAACTACTCCTAGTACAATTGATTTTCCTTTTTGGCAACCAATAGGCCAGTCAATAATAATGTTGTTTGAGAAGGATTGAGTCATGAGGGAGATGAACCCTCCCTGCCATTTATTATGTTTGTATTGTCTTCATTTGAAAAGGTTTTGTTCTTTTCTTTATCCCCAATGAGGACGTGAGTGAAGGTATTACAAGGGGATGGCTGAAACACCTCCCTGTCTCCAGGAGCTCTCTGACTCACCAGTGTGTTTGCATGCAAACAGGAGAGGGAAGCCACTGTCTGCTGGAGGTAAGACAAGCTAAGGAGACAACCACACTCCTGTTGTTACCCTAGATGTCTTTCAGAACACGAAAAAAGGAAAATTCAGGTAACTCACAATCTCATGCTGACAGGCATCACTTCAGTGCAAACACGACTGTGCAGCCTTGCAGGAATTGGTACAACATACAAACCCAACTCTGGCACCAAAAATGGTCTCTGCAGACAGCACAGACACTAAATGCTTTTCACCAAAGTTACTGCTGTATATGTACGAATGAAAATAAAATGTTTATGTACTAGCAACAGATTTCCTAACCTGATGATTTTCGGCTTTGGTTTCAAGTTTCCTTCTCAATCCCTGAGGGTCCAAGGGTGACCACTGAGAACTTGCTGGCAAGTGGCTTAAAGTCTCAGTGTAGTGATCTGCACCTTTACTAGGAAAGTGAAAGGTCAGCAAATAAAAACTGAAGATCAGTTAGAGCTTTTTTTGTAATAATTACAGAAAAATTTCAGCAACAAAATCATTACCATGACACTGATAACTGCACAGTGATGCAGTTCAAAAATATCAAAATCTTTAGATACAATTTTAACTCAGCTGCTTTACCACACAGATATGTACACAGCCCCTAATTATCCTGTGTGTCAAGTGACACAGTTCCACTTACAACTCACAATATTTATTTTAAGACTTGTTCACGTGGCCAGACAGGCTTGAAAAGCTTTATTAGACTTAGCTGAGCTGAGGAAACCACTCCAGGATAGTTCCCCATGCATTCCTAAGGGCACACCTTGAACACATGGATTATTATTTTAGAACAAGGAGTACCCACAAATGGAACAAAGTGAAGCCACAGGAAGTCCAGGAGGAGAGGCTATGGTCTGCTGTTTTGATGTTACAAATCAGAGATGCTATTTGCCCTGCTCTCTCATTGGACAGTTACTGTACCACAATACCCTTCATTTTTCTTAAACCAGCACTAGGAATTTGTGTACCCGCACTAGGTATAGATATATGCACATATATATACACACACCCATATACCCTATACCCTGCATAGCATGAGTAATCATGTGGGGCCTTGGCACTACACCACTGGAGACAACCAAGAACAAACTTTAGGGTCACTTCCAACCCAAACCATTCCATGATTCTATGAAATCAAGTATCTGACCAGGCCAGCTTGCTGCTCCTGGCACAGGGAGCACTAAGGATGCCATGGCACAGCTGTGGGGGTGCAGATCTGCACAGCTTCCATTCAGTGCCTCCCTTGACTCCAGAAAACCTTTTCAATGCCAGAGAAAACACTGCAAGGAAAATCTCTCCCCATATAGAAAAAAGGTTTTCATTTGTTGCTCATTCTCTGCAGGGAAAATTTGTGTCTTCATGTATTTTAAAGATAGAAATGGATATTCTAATCATGTTGCCAAGCTCCTTCATAACTTATGTTATGAATATGCTCCACTTTAGACAAACAGTTCCAGTGGAAGGAAGCTGTTTTCAGACCAAGCCCCAAACTCTGGGTATTTCCAGCAGAGCTCCAAAATACCATCCCACCACCCACTTTGACATGGCCTCTGGCTCTGAAGATTTAGGTAATTCAATTACACAAACGCCCCTTTTCAACAAAGGAGAGCAGCCTGTTGCCTTTCTGTATCCCCTCGCCCATGGCAATCACCAACTCTTTTCAGAGGTGCTATTAGAGCTAATTATGAACAACCAGAGAACTCAATGGCTGCTGCTTTTCAGTGACAGTAGTGAACCACCCACTGGAAACTGCAGCACCACTGCTGGAAACAGCAAGCACAGGCACTGGACCACTGCAGTGCAGGAGCATGGGATTACTCCCAGAATTAAAGCAGTTTTGAGTGTGCTACAGGAACAAGCAGAGCCAGGAGACCTCTCCTGCTCCCAAGCTGTCTGGTCATCAACAAAGAGCAGTAAGTTGACTCTTGAGCTAGAGACTGCAAGTACTTTGACAACAGATAGTATAAAGGTAACTAAAATAAGGCAGAAAAAAGGGATGAAGGCACAGTGAAGTGGTATGACTTCCTCCAGGTCACCCAGCAGAGTACCACTGTCACTGTCTGCTTAGGGCAGCTAAATCCTTTAGCACACACCAAGGGAGCCAAGATGGAAGAACATTTATTAAAAAGGTAATGGAAGTGAGCATAAATCTGCCATGCTGTTTGACTAACTTTTTAGAAGCACACTAAAACACAGGCAATTAAAACAAAAATTGGTCTATAACATTTCTCTCCCTCACTAGCTGCTCGTAGCCCTCATAATCCCTAATTTATTCCTCATCTCTTATGCTGCTTGCATGTAGCTGCTGCTGCAAAACTGAACAAGACAGAAGAAAACCTGAAGACCTGAGTGGCACGTGGGGATTGTGGAGGCTGCTTGGAACTTTTACTGAGAGCACATTGCTCTGAATTAACAGCGCCACCAATTCGAGTCACCAGAGATTCCCTCATGCTTAACCCACGCTCCTTTACAGCCCAAGCATTAACTGACAGTGCACTTGGTATGTATAATAGAAGGTGCTGCAGTGTTTATGGCCTGTTAGGAAGACACAGTTTCTCCCTCTCCCTTTTTCTTCTGTTTGCTCTTTAAAATATCTCCTGCTCTTGCTCTGGCTGTGAATTCTTACAGGGTAAAGGTCAAAACAAAACACCAAAAAAAAAGAGAAATAAACACTAAGTCACAAAGTCTTGAAATGTTATTGCAATTTATATCTGGCTGTGAATAAAAATGTGTCTGCTTTCTCTGGGAACCCACCTACGTGCAAACAGAGACCTTTATAAGAAATTCTCCTTTATTACCTTGGTGGGGAAAAAATATCAAAGATTGATTTTCTTTTTATGGCTATTATTAACCTTTTGTTACTGGCCAAAAATAATCTGGTTAGAAAATGTGCAATGCATCAAAAAGAAAAAAGGGGAGAATTTAACAGAAAATTAATGCTCAGAGGAAAAGAATATGATGATTCTTCTTTCAGGATTTTCTTCAAGAGTCAGACTTTACCTCCATAGCAATGAGACAAGTGTCAAAGAGAAGAGGTATTTCTCTAGGCTACCAGGGTGAAGGGAATGGGCAAGTGTCCTCCCATGTGACTCCTCCTCAACTTCAATACAAAGCTGTTCCTCTATGTATCTGAAACATCACTCACTAGTTCTGACTGACAGGTGATGGTCTAGCCTGACAGCAAAGGCCCCACTGGCTTCACTGCTCCTCTTCTGTGTAAGGAAAAGCTCATATAAAATCCATTGGAATTGAAACCCCAAGATCTAAGTATGAACATCCATTTCCCATGAGCTACCACAGAGCTGTGCTGCCTCATACCCATCCCACCAGCAATTCTGCCCTGACAAGGGCAAGACAGACTTTTAAACAACAATTTCATGCGTATGTAAGTACCAACACAGCTATTTACAGCCTATGAATGCTACAGGTCTGTTGACAAACCTTCAGCTTGCAGCTCTGCTTCAGGTCAACCTCTTAAAAATTCCTGAAGCATTTAACGCAAGGCTGCTGAGACCTCACGGGTACAATCTCACAGATTTGTCAGCAGAGGTGTATCTAGGTCCAAACTGGGCAGGAAAAACAGAGTCAGTAAGTGCCACACTGGTAAAGAGCAGTCAATCATAATTTGACACAAATATGTTGGACAATTATGTCCAAACATGACTGCATTTACACAGGTCAGCCCTTAATTACAACAAGCTGGCAAAACTGGGAGCATTGACTCATAAGCACAGGCTGACCCAAGCTGCCTGGCTGGAAGGAGCCACTTGCAAAGCAGATGCTGAACCAGTGTAGCTCACAGCCTGGTCTGTTAAGGTACCCTAAAACTGCTGCTAGCTAGCTCAGACATGTGAGCTGCAAATCATGGTGGCTAAAAAGCTGCTTTATGTTAAGTCAAACTGTGCTAGAAATGGTGATGTCCAAAGGGGTGAAGTGGGGATGAAGGGATGAAAATGGCATAAGCTGTTTGATTTTGCCTTTAGTCAGCACTGAGATCCCACTGTAGCTGTCATGTGCCCACACCACGCCACGACTGAAACATCACCTACCCCCATGGCATGTTCTGCCAATACCAGGCATTTATCAGACATTTTTCTGCTAGGCAAAGTGGGATTTACTTTTAATTATTCCACACAGTTCTGCTGGGAGCGCAGTGTTACCCAAAATACATTGGAGAATGCACTTTACCAAACACCTCATACACAGGAAATCCCTCTGGCCAGTAGGATCACAAGTCACACTGGAAGCCACAGTCAGGTGAA